TCAGTTTTATTATATGTACAAGTGTGAGGAGCACATTATGCTTATATCAAAATAAACATGGCAATATTGTGGAACAGAATGCAAAATGAATGCAAATTTCTCAATATTACATAGACATTTTGAGCTGGCAGCCACACCCTCAGGCCAGCCTTCATTTTAGAGGTTCTTTGTGGAACTGTCTGCAAAGAGCTCCTATAGTATCGGGAAGCAATGACTTGCTAAATAAAAAGGAAGGTGCTTCTGATGTGCAAGTTTTCACCCTAGATTAGACAGGATAAATTTCATGTCACATATGTAAATTTGAATAATAGAAATCTTAAAGTACCTTCTAGATCATTGGTTCTTGTAGATTCCTTGGCTGGACTACAAATTAAATTGACATAGGTAGATTAACAGGGAAAAAATTTAATTATGTACCTACTCATGGGAGTCCCACAAAATATGAGACTCAAAAGAGTCATATGATTGAAGCTTAGTAGTATCCTGAGCTACAAAAAGGAATAGAGGCTTGGGGTTCCAGGGAGGGCCAAGTATGGTGACACAAGTTGTGGGAAGGTGAGGGGAGGAATTGTACGGTTGTCTTGTTGTCTTTATGCAGATAAAGTCTCCCAGATAATAAAAGTTGTCAGGATCAGCCCTCTTCATGATACAGATACTTTATTAATATAGATTTTGTTTATAGATATAAATTTCTTTTACAAAAGAACAGCTTTTCAGAACTACTTCTGTATCTGATATTTTTTAGAAAAGCCAGGTCAAAGTATTCCAAAGAAGTATATTTCGGGAGGGCATATTCCAGTCTCCTACAGTATAGTTTGGGGTGATCTGACCTGAACCTCAACAAGGGGCATTTGTCAATATCTGAGGACACTTTTGGTTGGCACAAGTGGGAAGGAGGGGGAGGTGCTAACCTAGTGCTCAACATCTTATAATGCACAGGACAGCCCCCTATGACAAAGAATTTCCCAGCCTATATGTCAATAGTGTGAGGTTAAGAAAGCCTGCTTTAGACAATGTATATAGACACACAGATGGAAAATAAGTAGCCTGAAGGTCCAAGTCAGGCCTGTGGATCGGAGCCCACACGGGGCCTCGGAAGGCAGGCACATGTCTCTCTCTGGACCAGGGCAGGAGACAGAAGGCAGCCTCTGGGAGCAGGAGTTCAGCTGGTTGCCATACCAGGAAAAGGAAAGGTTTAGAATTTGGGCCATGAATAGAGCTACAGTGTGGTCTTTGAAGACTTCTGTGGTGCTGTGGAAGTTGCTTCTATACCTGTGCTCAGGGATATGCCATCTCCTCCAGAAACCTGCCTTAATCCTCCAAATGGGAGTGAACCTCCCCCTTTAGTGCTCAGGCTTTAGGTTTGAGGCCTTTATTATTTTATGCACTACTATATCCTGCCACTGTGCCCCAGAGTAGGCTGTAAGCTCCCCGAGGACAGGACTCCTACATTTTCAAATACATGTTCTTGGTCCACAGGACCACAGCACACAGCAATACCAATAAAATGGTTGCTGAGTTGCCATCAATACTTTATTCTCCCCCCAGTATTAGAAATTCTGCAAGCATACTCTTGCATAAAACATATAAAATGGGAAGAAAAAAAGGATGTCATTTTCTATTTTCCTCTGGAAAGAGTAGTTAGCAAAGTCTATCTTCAAAGACCTGTTTATCCCTTTTGTTCAGTGCTAATCACCTGTCTGCTTCCCCCTTCTTTAACCTTTTTCATAGTTTCCCATAGTAATAGAGTTCATCCTGAAATTTCACTGTTGCAGTTCATAAATGGTTCCCAATTTTGGTTGATGTTTTTAACATACAAATGTCTATAATCAAAGCATAGAGCAAACTTTGCCTAGCCTTTGCTTTACAGCTCAAAAACAATATTTTTTAAAGCTCTATAATCCATTAATTTGTTCATGGCATTTCTGTGTAAGAGGCAGTTTGACCCTGCTCAGCTTTTATTAAATAGTTACAAAAAAAATTAATTAAAGTTTTCTCTCTGCTCTCCATATTCAAAATTAACCATTCTATAGAATGACTGAGAAGGAATCAAGCATTTTTGGAATAAAATGCAAGTTTCCATATTAAAATATTCAGGGCCGGTTCAGTACCTTCCTATACTTTACATTCCTAAAAGGTAAGAAACGCATCTCCAGCAATCCAAATATCTTGCACTACACTTACAAAACAAATCAGCAGGTTATTCTTTACCCTACAAAACCATTTATCAAAAGATTCAACCCAAGATTATTTTCATTCAGCAGCACCTACTCTCAAATCCATTTAAATTGAGGTGGCATTTACACAGCTTTTCAGGAACCACAAGAACCTTCTAAGAGCTGAGGGTATGATGAATGAGCCCAACTACTTAATTTTGCAAGGGAGGAAACTGAGGCTCAGTAGGTAACATGAGCTCTCAAAGCTGCACAATAATAGCAGGGATTTATCAAGGGCCGGTGCCCCTCACACCCTTGCCACTCCCAGCACGTCCAGGCCACCATGACATCTTGCTTGGACGAGTGCAGGAGTCTCCTGAGTCCTGTGTTTACCCTCCCTCCTACCTACCACCCTCACCCCAAAGGCCACTCCCCACAGCAGGCAGAGGGATGCACCTACAACAGAAGGCAAACTATGTCACTCCTTTGCTCAGAACCGTCCAATGTCTTCCCGGCTCCCCTGAGTAGGGCCAATCTCACCACAGTGTACAAGGCCTGCCCATTTCTAAATGCTCATCTCTTCAGTCACTGCCCCAGCCCTGGCACTGTCTTCACATGCTCTACCTTGGGGACTTTGCCCTTGCAGGTCCCTCTGCCAGCCACCTCTTCCTCCACACAACTCCCTCCCTCCCCCTCCTTCAGGGGTCTTCTCAAACAGCATTTCACCAGAGGCTTCCCTGACAACCCTCTGTAAATAGCACCACCCTACTTTCTCCCTCTCTCTCCCTCCTTCCCTGCTTTATTACTCTTGCTTTTTCTTTTATTTTACATGCTCAAAGATGGTAGAGAGCAGACTACTCCAATAAGGAACACTTTTTTCTAATGCTCTTACCATATTTTGTATTTGTTTATTGACTGCCTTTCCCCACTAGAATGTAAGCTCAACAAAAAAGTCCTTCCTGGACCACCAGTGCCTGGTATATGGCAGGAACTCTGCATTTTTGCAGAACAAGTGTTTAGTGTTCTAAGGAAGGTAAAGGAACCAATTTATTTAATCTTCCCAATTACCTGAGATAGACATCACCATCAGCATCAGCATCAGCATCATCGTCACTGTCATCTCTGGTTCACAGATGAAGAAACTAAGGCACAGAGAAGTTTAGTAATTTTTGCAAGATGACCCAGCTAATCAGTAGTAGAGCCAGGGGCACTGGCTTTTTAACCACCATGATGTATTGGATGTATTGTGTCACTCTCACCTTAGCCAAATTCAAAGAACTACTGCACTTTAATGCTTCTTCCCTATACCAGACTGTCAAGAATTGAGATTATACTGAAGTATGCTTTTGAATGCCAATCATTTCCTATAACCACCTAATATTTTAAAATAATCAATAAAGTATGATTTGGAGCTAAGACTGATAAACAAGAACAAAACTGTGAGCCACAACCGTGCTGCACTTCAGCCTGTAATTCAGAGAACCACTTCCACAGAGGCTGTGACTGGCTTACAGGCGTGTGCAGGTAATTCTCCCTGCTTGACTGGGATTATCACGATTAGCTCCGGCCCATAAAGGGAAAACTAAGACACAAAAGCCACAGTGATATTCTAGGCCACACAGCCAGTAACAGTGGCTGGAAGGGAGCCTCTGAGGGCCCCTCGGGGACTGCAGTAGGTCACACAGGCTCCCTGCTTATTAGTGTAGAACACCCCGGTGATTCACACACTGGAATGTTAAAGCCAAGGATGTCACCTAATAGAGAATGTGTTGATACAGCTTTATCAGAGAAATTACATAATAATCCTAAGGTAGAAATGCCATAAAGGAATTTGTGCCTTGGAATAGAGGAGGGGTGTATGCCCTGGGAATGACTCTACAAAGGCTATCAGGAGATTTTCAGTGAGACACTTACTATCCCAGAATGGGCAAGTGACTTGTGAAAAACGGGGCCCCAGTGGAGGCTTTTTGAGGACTGTCACAGCGTCCAGTGCAATTTGGTAAGACAGCCAGACTCCAGCCCCAGTGACCCTCCAGGGACCCCAGACCAAGTATTTATTTCTGCAAGCCTTGAGACCTTTCATTCTTTTTCTACCCCAGAGAACAGAATGAATCTTTGCTCCCACTTTGTTGGAGTTCTCTGAAAGAAATCACGCCAAGTGTCCTCTCTAGAATACCACCCCCAGCCCACAGTCTTCCCTTGACCTCGCTTCCCACCATCCCACCTGCCCCCAGGACAAGGCAGGAGGTTAATGGTTAGGAGGCTGGAAGGGAGGGGTGGGGTGTCGCAAGCACCTGTCACCTAGCAGGCCCCAGCCCTCAATTCCCCCGTCCCCCAGCCCTACCCACCCTCTCGCCGTGAGCGCCCACAGGGCCCCCCCCTCCCCGACTGGGACAGGCCCGTCCCTCCCGCCCCGGCCTCTCGCCACCGTCCAATGGCCGAGGGGCAGGGCAAGCTGAGCAAGCCACGGCAGCCCAGCCGGGTCCCCGCCCTGTTCCCGGTTCCCGAGCCGAGCCCGGAGGCCTTTAAATGCCGCCCTGGGCCAACGCGGCGCGGCCCTCGCCACCTTTCCTCTTTGGGCGGCGGCGGCGGCGGCAGCAGGAGCAGCAGGAGCAGCAGCGCCAGCAGCGCCAGCAGCGCCAGCCGCGACTCGGCAGCCGAGGTCCGGGTCCGGGCAGCAGCCGCCACCTTCGACCTCGGGGCCCACGCTGCCAAGCTCTGCCCCTCCCCCTGCTGGGCCGTGCCTGCCAGGTCCGCGCCCGGGCCCCGGGCGTGCGCGCGCGCGTGCCCTTGTGTGCGCGCGCCCGCGCCAGCCTCGGACCCGCGCCCCCGCCCCGTGCACGACCGCCCCGGGATCCCCGCCAGCGCGCCGCGTCCCAAGTCCCCCGCCGCCGTGCCGCCACCCGTGCACCCCGCCGCGCTGTGCAAGAAGATGGCGGGATCGGTGGCCGACAGTGATGCCGTTGTGGTGAGTGTGGCGGGGTGCACGCGAGGCGCCCCCTTCCCGCCGCCCCACACGCCGCCGTCGCCGGCTCCCGCCGGGTTGGGACAGAAAGAAGCTGCAGGCCCAGCCGGCGCCCCGCGCGCGCGAAGGCGCCCGGGTACCTGTTAGCAGGAGCCCGCTGTGCGCGGATTGGGGTGGGGGCAGGTTGGAGGGCTCCAGGCTGGGGGAGGGTGTTTGCGGGCGGACGGAGGGCCGACAGCCCCCTGTGCCTTGCCACCGCCATCCAGGTGTGTGCATTTTGCACGTGTGAGTGTGCGCGTGGGTGAGCGTGTCCGGGGCGCTCGCCCCGCCACCGCCCCCAACGTCCCGGGGATTCCCCCTTGGAGGGTTTACGCCTAGGGCACCAGGGAGAAGTTGAGCGCCACTTCAGACATGTCCTGGAGGACAGGCCTGGGCCACAGCGGTCCCAGAAGCTTTTGCAGTTGGAGAGGGGCCTGCCCTTCTCCAGCAGCCCGGCTCAGGCTCCCTGATGTGACTCGACCTTGGTTTTGATCTGGATCTGAAGGGTCTGAGGATCCTCAGAGGCTTAGCTACTGTACCGGGTGGAAAGGACGGATTTGCTGGGTGTTGGGGGTTATGCGATTATTTAAGGGGCTATGAAGAAGCATCATCTGCAGGCACTGCCTGAGTGTATGTGAAACGCTGCCGATTCCACCAGATTTGTGTAGGTTCTTATACCACCCCCCAAAAAGAGCCTATGGAAAGCCAATCTGTGTGCTTCTATTTTTAGAAACTAGATGATGGGCACTTAAACAACTCCTTGAGCTCTCCAGTTCAAGCCGACGTGTACTTCCCACGACTGGTAAGTGATTTTGCTGTGTCTCAGCTGTACCCTCTTCCTTTCTAATTGCATTTTCTAATGGGTCAGGCCCTCAGGATGTGAGAGCTTGGCTTTTCTCTAACTGGCAGTAAACTTCCTGTTTCTTTTCCAATCCTTTGCAGATAGTTCCATTTTGTGGGCACATTAAAGGTGGCATGAGACCAGGCAAAAAGGTGTTAGTGATGGGCATCGTAGACCTCAACCCAGAAAGGTAAGGCAGAGTGCTTGTCGCCCAAGAGCTATCAGGCAGTGACGGGGCCCCGCCCACTCCTGTTGTGGTTTAGTGCTCCTCCTCTTCCTCTCCTTGTGGACAGTGTTGCTAGTTGGGTGTGCCAAGAAAGTACCATGTTCCCATGAAAAGAATGTGTATGAATCCTAGCCATCATTTCTCCAGACAGCTATTTATATCAGAGATTATAAATACAGGCCCACATTTTCTCTTTGACCCTTAGGGAGGCCAAAGGACTTTTTTTTTTTTTTATGGTTTTGAAACATGGTGCTTAAAGCAAGAACTATCAATATAGATAATAAGCAAACTTAAGATATTATCTGAAATGGATTAGGACACAGATGTTTGGGTGATTTGGGGTATTTGAAATCTCTAGTTTTAGTCATTTTCAACTCCACCAAAGTTTTCACCAGAGCTGGCTTTAGGTAACAAAATAAACTGGTTCGAGTTACTTCTCCATAGTCTAACCTCTCTTGCAAAGAGTAGTGGTCTATTAAAAATGAGACAAACCCAGCGAAGAAGGAGGAAACCTGAGTCACGGGTCATTCCGAAATGTTGTTACATCCAGCCTTGAATACGTGAGACTATTTTCTTTTCAGCTTTGCAATCAGCTTGACCTGTGGTGACTCCGAAGATCCTCCAGCTGATGTGGCAATTGAACTCAAAGCTGTGTTCACAGACCGGCAGCTACTCAGAAATTCTTGCATATCCGGGGAAAGGGGTGAAGAACAGTCAGCAATCCCTTATTTCCCATTCATCCCAGACCAGCCATTCAGGGTGAGTACCTCGAGTGCCTCAGCCCGAGCCCTGGCAGGGCGATGATGTTCTGCTTATCTAGTGTGTGCCAAGAGCACTTTAAGCAGCCAGAATTTCTGCATGTCCAGGAAATTTGTCACTCAATGGTGAAAAAGAAAAAAATATCAAAAAAGCTGTTTGCTGATATAAATTAATACTTGTCATAGTAGCTCTTAGCTCTCTTTAGCCTATGCATTTAGTAAATAGACCCATATTTACATGTCCAGTGTTAAGAATAAATGCTTTTCTATGTTGTATCTAACATAGTACAAGGCATATAATAGATACTTTCTTCCAAATATCAGATTAATAAATACTAATAAGTATCCACCTAAGTATTAATACTTATTAATACTTAGAGTAATAAGTAGCTCTGAGCCTTATTTGTATGACTTTTTAAAGAATATAATGATTATCATTTCATTTTCTCTTGTTCTCTTTGCTAATGAGGCCATGTCTGTGTCCTTGTTTTCCCCTCTGGATTAATTAGCCTCAGTCTATTTCATGGTCACAGACTGTGGCTGACACATTCCTTCCCTTGGGTCTGGATGAATATAGAATTGCTGCCCACTATCTGGTGGGCAGGAAGCACAACCTGAACTTCTCATCCTATCAGGCAGCATTAGCAAAACCTTCCTCAATGAAGGACAATGCCATATAAGAGATGCAAGTAATGATGTGTTAAAAAGGATTTACTGTCAGACCTAGTGATGAAATTGTCGCCATTACATCTTATTAACATTACATCACAATAATGACGACTCAGTTAAAAGCTCCGTGTTGCATACAAGCCCAGTAAAACAGAACTACCCTTAACCTGTTGCTCTTCATCTAGAACTTTTCAAGGGTCTTATGAAGTAATTATTTCTCTTCCTACGGTCTGAAGGGAAGATAAGAATCTGTGACTTTTATATCAATGATACAATTGAGATTATTACCCTTCTAATTATAGTCTGGGTAAGGCACCCCTAACCCATAATCCCTCCCTACCTCCTTCTCTGGTATAGTAATGTCCCCTCAGGCTCCTCTTGGCTGGGACAGTTTCTTAATGATGAATCTTAAGGCATAGCTCATGAGTGTGAGTAACCAGAGCTTCTGATTCCCAGGAGAAATATAAAACTCCCCAAAAACAAAACTGAAATGAAAGAGGCCCTTTTTGATGATATAATTTTAGTAATAACATGAATTAAATGTGACTAACATCACATATGAAGTCTCTCCTTGCATGGTGAAAAACAGTGCTTTTAATACATACATTATAGCACACTACCAATAATTAAACTCTATGGTGAATTACTTAAGGAAAAGGGGAGGAAAAAGCTTTTACCTTATGGAATCAGTATTTTTGTTCGCTAAGGAAGCTTTGTTAATTACACACTCTTGGTCCAATGGTAATTACTGTGTAACCTTCTCTCTGCACCAGTGTTTACCATGTTTGAGTGTGTAGACTGTTATTACAGTTCTGCCTGGTGAGGGGCTCCTCTGAAGGTGGTATGGAATTGTTCAGGGGATGACAATCGCGCCATTAAGTGCCATACACACAAATCTGTGCTGCTTAGCATCACTTCCTGGAGTGCAGGGAGAAGGGACAAATGTTAAAGCATAAGCAATTCTAAATCTCTAATGGATATTAAATAATGTAAAGCAATGGTTGTTAAAGTGTGTTCCTTATTCTAGCAACATCAGCATTACCTTGGCACTTAATGGAAATGCAGATTCTTAGACCTTGCTCTAGACCCACTGAATCAGAAATTTGTGAAATGGAGCCCAGCAATCTGTATTCCAGGAAGCCCTCCATTTGGTCCCAATGCATTCTAATGTTTGAGAACCACTGAAGATAATGCCTTTCTTTCTCTAAAATGAAATACGGTTGGTTTTCCCCAACAGGCTTCATTGAAATTGTGAATTGAGATGATTATTTTATTTCTTCCAGGTGGAAATTCTTTGTGAGCACCCACGTTTCAGAGTATTTGTGGATGGACACCAGCTTTTTGATTTTTACCATCGCATTCCAACGTTATCTGCGATCGACACCATAAAGATAAATGGGGACCTCCAGATCACCAAGCTTGGCTGATGTTCAAAACACCTCTGTTTCACTTAGGATCAGGTGCCACAACTGTCCAACTGTCAGTCTGGAAGAAGTGTCCTAGCAAGATCTGGAGACCTAAAAAGGAAACAAACGGCAAACATTACTGTCTCTTCTTCCTGTGCAGTTTAAACCCAAAATGACAACTTCAACCATGGATTGCCGTTGGGAAGCTGTGGGGACAAAGACACCAAGCCATTATTCCCAGAACAAAGTAATACATTTTTGCTGGATTTCATTCAGACTAAACTAAAATGGATTTGTGATGATTTGTGATTTGGTAGCAAATTATTCATCTTTTCAAAGCAAAGTGATATTTAGAAACAAAAGTGCTAAAGACACTAAAAAAAAAAAAAAAAACAACAACGGTACACCGAAATCAACACATTTCTGCACTGAAGTGGAATTGTGTAGCACAACCAACATTTTAGTCAGGGTATTTACATAGAATGTAGGTTGTTCCAGATTTGGTTTTTTTGTTTTGTTTTTGTTTTTGTTTTGCACAGCATAATGTTAATTCAGACTTTTGAAGCTTTCTTGTAGTTATTTATTTATACTCAGTGTATGTATTAGAGAATGAGCAATGTCTCAAGAACAGCAAGTTACAAACTTTTGAATGTACAAATACCTTAGGTCCAAGGGGGGAAATGATATATTACAACTATGAAACAGGTAAATTTCTACCTTAAAGAATTGAGTTCTATTCTCCATACCCCTAATCTAGGATATCTTGATATAAATTGCTGTAAGTGCTTTTGGGAACACTCTGAAACATTTCGATAAAACTGCTTTCAATTTATTGCTATGTAAAATTCTATTTACATTGCTTTTCCTCCTTACTGTGAATTAGCACAGTATTGGCTTCCTTAAGACTACTTCTCCATAGATTTATATAATAGCTCACTAAGTTGGTATTAAATTAATTGAAAGCATAAGAGATGATTGCATAGATAATTTTTAAATGACTATTATGTAAACTTTTAAAAGAATAAAATGAAAATGACTCTGGAATGCAGTGTAGAGCAGAAGCAAATGGCCCCAAATAACTTACTTGGCAGTAATTTATATCAACTTAAGCTGTTAGCTCATTGTATGACTTTTCTTATGTTACCCTCACCAATATCTTTAAGTAATGCTTTTGGAGCTTCAGAGCAGAAGATGCTTCCTACTGTGTTGGCTCTGAGGAGACAGTAGGACTAGATGGGGTCCAGAAATGATCCAGTTTGTTTATCTGAAAGGTTATTTCCCAGGACTCCAAGTCTTTGAGTCCAACCAATAGGGTGAATGCTTCCAATTAAGCTATAGGAGTTTCCTTGCACTTGTGGAACCAATCAAACAGTAGAGTGACTCCAGCAGGAGGCCACAGTACTGTAAACGTCACTGCAGGGCAAGGGATGGTTGGAGTTCTGGGTACTGGACGTCACAAGCCGCATTGACCCTGGACAGAAGGACCATTGGCATTGCTTTGGTCAGGTAGTGAGGGAAGACAGGGGTGCTGGGGTGTGGGTGTATTTATATATAATTTAGGTTTTATTTGTACAGCATACTATGTCTTACAATGGCATGTCCTTGTCCTGCTTTGCTTTTCGGGTGTTTTTGTTTTTGTTTTTGTTTTGTTTTGTTTACACAACATGCAGAGGCACTGAAAGTGGCCATGTCATTTTCATGTGTCGAGAATGTAGACAGTGTTTCAGTACCAAAGTCTAAGATAAACAAAGCAAATTAAAAATTATGAATTTTTTATAGGTGATATATTTGGATTCTTGTCAACTTTGAAACTCTTTAGCACAGTTCCATTGTGTTACATAAGAAGATACTTTATCCAACAAGACTGGCTTTATGTACCAGGTGACTTATTCAGCCATGAGGGCTGTTCTGTGGCTCCAGATATTTTCAGGCCTGTGATTAACTTCTCATGGCTTGTCACTATAAAGCTACTAAATCTGGGTGTTTGTGGAGAGACTTAGAGGGCACACTGAAATACATTTGTAGGAGTTTGGGTTCCACTTATGGTAGAAGACCTCCATAGGAGGACTCCTTCAAGTGGCTAACCATTCCCACCCACTGCATAATTCAGCAGAAACTGGAGGAGCTTGGAGTGTAACTGATTGGAATTGACACTCTTGTTCTCTCCACCTATCAGCTAACTCCTTAGCAGCCAAGCCCTAAGGCAGCTTAGTGTGAAAATGCAGTGTTAACCCTTTGTTTCTCTGTGAGGTCAGTGGGAACCTCTTGGATAAGCCTATTGGGATTAATCTAAGTGACGTGATGATTTGATTCAGATATAGCTGAATTAGTAGGGGGCTAATCCAGCTGTACTAATCCTTAGCTATAAACTGAAAACAATATTCATACCCTCTCCTCGGCCTGTGAGGTCAAAGGTGGGAATTTCAGGATAGAAAGTGCAATTTAAAGCTTCACAGGAAAATATTTGGGAATGTAAGGAGTTATTTCCTACCAGAGCCCTAGTTTTGCAATAACCAAAACCAAGGAGTATAACAATCAGGCTCTGGGGGAATAAAGGCAGGCTTTAGACAATCTGTCAGTTTCTACAGCAAAAAAATTGGAGTGAATGTGTATTATCTGCTTAAAAGTTAATAGAAGTGACTTCTACTTTTTGGACTATCCCAGAATTGTTTTAAAATTATTTTTTTAAATTTTGAAACCCCATTTCAAATCTTGCCAACCTCAGTTCAAAACCCCCTGAGAGATCACTTTTAGAATGGATGATTTGTTAAAATGGCAAATCATTTCATTTGTGTTAAAAAATAAAATATGTAGAAAGAGGGAGGGAGCCCTGTTGCCCTGAGAGAAACAGCCTTGGCATTTTCCAGCGTTAATGTAGAAATATCGTTCCTATGATGACATATTTTCAAAGAAACACTTTCTTATTTACTGCGTGGTGTAAAATGTTGCTAAATGTGTTGTTACATTATGTCACTGCTGAAAGTTATTTGCACTATAATAAAGGAATTTTATACAAAATGATTTCCAGTTTATAACATGCTAAATTCAGCGTCAGGTATAGAGTACTTAGCATGACCATGTGGTGTGGTGATCATGCCTCACTTTCACACTCATATTCCAAGACCGTCTTCATCCTGTGTTTCCAACATTGATAAAGGGAAGGAAAGTGTCTCAGAGGCCTAATAACTTATGTTGTAGATATTTTTTATTATAATTTGCATATAGCACATTCACTTTTTTTGGTGTACAGTTCTGAGTTTTTTAACACATGCATAGATTCATATAACTACCATCTCAATCAGGATGCAGAATAATTCTATCATCCCAGAAAATTCCCTTGTGGTTGAACTTGTCCCCCATTCCTAACCCTAATTAGTCAACCATTGCACTATAATAAAGGAATTTTATACAAAATTCGGTTCTCCTTCCCTACAGTTTTGCATTTTCCTTAATGTCATAAAAGTCGAATCATACAATATTTAATCTTTAAGGGGTAGCTTCTTTCAATTTGCATCCCACACATGTGAGATTCATCCATGTTGTGCATGTCAGTTTTTCCTTTTTATTGCATTCCATTGTATGAATATACCATAGTTTCTGTATCCATTCACCTGTTGAAGAATGCAGTAGATACTTAATAAATCAGTAAATCCAGTCTTAGCAGAGTGTATATGCAATAGCAAGATTGCATTTCTCTTGCCTTCCCTTTCCTGTGGCTGGTTGTTGCTCCCTGTCAGAGCTTTTGCAGTTAAGTGTAAGCAGGGAGAGGTCTGTTAAGGTGGAGACAATTTGCTGAGGCTGCTAGGCAGAGATAGGAGAGCTTCCCCACCCCCTAGCCTTCTGGGGAGGTCCCTTGGGTATGTGACATTATACTTACATTATGATAGCATTTTGGATAAGATGATCTGGAAAATATCCATAATTGGAGCCTCTGAGTGCCACAAACCGTTTATTCATTTATTGAGCTGTGTCAATTGCTGTTCTAGGCACTTGGATCCATCAGCAAGTGAAAAAGACAAAGGTCTCTGGTGGTTTTAAACTTCAGTGTGCTTAAGAATCACCCAGAAATCCTGCTTAAGAGGCAAATGTCCATCACCCACACCCACCCACACCCCCAGGAGATTCTGTTTCAGTAGGTCTGGAGTAGGGCCCAGGAGTTTGTATTTTTACAAAGACTTCTAAATGGTGTAGGTGGTCCTGGATCTCAGATTAAGCAACTCCGCCTTCGGGAACTTCTGTACAGTCACGGACTCAAACTGTTGGTTGTACTGGCCTTGAGATTCTGAACTGTGGATTTTCTGTGAAAACTGCATTTCAACACAGGGTCATCCTGCTCTGCCAAAATTCTGCAACAGTCACTACATTACAATTATGTGTCATTGCCCCTGGCTTAACCTTCTCCTCTTTCCCCACTCCTGCCTCTTCCTACAAACTAAAACACTATAGTGAAAGAAAGTTTGCCTGTTAACTGAGTTTTGTAAAAATCCTCCTTAATTGGGTTAGTTTAGGACCTAGGTAGCAGGCTGACACCCACTTTAAGTAGTGAATGCCCCTAGAAAGATTTAGGTTCTGGGGGAGGCTTGTCTACTTCTTGGTAAGCATTTCAATTAGTTATTTACCAGAGAATCATTAGGGTGGGGCCCAGTTGTTTGTGAGGCAAATACACACGGTGGCTTATAGGTTGCAAAGAGGCAAAGAACAAGTAGTAGTGGCCCAAGTGAGCTTTTGTGGCACTTTGGAAATGAATTTAGAGCCTTCCTTCCACAAGAAAATGCAACTGAGTGTGTATACAATGCTACATGTTTGCCTCAAGCTGCTTGCTTCCTAATCACCGTGGTAATTTCACAATATTTCCCTAACAAAAAAAAAAAATCTCCTGCATTAGAGAACTGCCTTGCAAAACATATACTTCATCATAATTAATTAAAATGGGTGTATCCAAGGTGCCGAAACAATACCCAACCTAGAGAGCAGAGGAAGAAATAGCCACTGACTCTTTCTCTTGCTTTGATACACCCTTCCAAATCCCAGGGAAAGACAGTGACTTGGTGAGCAAAGCAGAGGGGAAGGAAGCTCATTGTTTGATAGGACAACACAGACAGTCCCTAAATAATAGGTCCTGGGAAACGGCAAGCCAGCCACAGCCTTGGAGATGATGTGGGGTTTTGGGGGCCTTCCAAGCTTTCGTGAGTCAGAACAATAACAAACATTTGCTAATAACCCCAACACCTCCTTTTCTGTCGGTATTCTGTTATTAAGTCTAAAAAGACAGACGCAAATGATCAAAGCTTACCTAAACAGTTGGTCTGGAACAGGAGGAAGTGAGACGGTGAGTCTGTGGTGAGGGCGAGGAGTTGGGAATGGGGTGCCCAGGCCTCCTGGATTTGCGGTGTATGCTCAGGTGGGCGCTGGAAACCCCAGCCTTAACTTACCCTCGGTGAGAAATGAGAATGGCAGTGCCACTTGTGACAATGTGCTCAGAGAGTGAGAAGTGACACAACAGGCTGTACAGGGACAAAACTGATAAAACCGTGGCCCATGCCTGTAATCCTAGTACTCTGGGAGGCGGAGGCGGGCGGATTGCTCAAGGTCAGGAGTTCAAAGCCAGCCTGAGCGAGACCCCATCTCTACTAAAAATATAAAAAGAAATTAATTGACCAAGTAAAAATAAATATACAAAAAAAAATTAGCTGGGCATGGTGGCACATGCCTGTAGTCCCAGCTACTCGGGAGGCTGAGGCAGCAGGATCGCTTGAGCCCAGGAGATTGAGGTTGATGTGAGCTAGGCTGATGCCACGGCACTCACTCTAGCCTGGGCAGCAAAGTGAGACTCTGTCTCAAAAAAAAAAAACTGATAAAACCAACAGTTCAAATAATCATGACACCAATTTCTATAATAGTCCTCCACAGTTTTATAAAGAAACAGTGTGCAAAGTGCTAATTCTTGAGCTAGGTTCTAATTCACCAGAATATGCTTTTCATATATAATTTCAATGGAGTTTCATTTTGTTTCCAATCTAACCAAAATTAGTAGTGTATTAGGCAATATTTAGAATGGTGTTTGTGAAACATACTTAGGGATTTTTTTACTCTGAATTATTGCAGCTGTTCCAATATTAGAAAGCACCATTTTCCCTAATGCAATAAAAAATGTCTTTAGCTCAGCATAAAATGACACTTAATGTTATAATAAAGAGCGATCAAGGAAGAGATGCACAAAATGATGAACTGCTGAAAAACATGTTATTTAAATGACAATCATCATGGAGTAGTGTGTCTGTTACTCTTAAGATTCTAATTAACCATTCATTTATCACACATTTTTTAAATTCTCAAATTATTGTACACACTATGGAGCACAAGACCAAAGACTTTTATTTGAGGAGGTTGGAAATAGACCTACTCTCTAATGCTCTGATTAAATTCAGATATTGAGGTGACCTCAGAGGTTGGTTGATTGGTTTTAAGGCAACTAGCATTCTCCTTGCTTTTCTAAATGATATAAATTCTTAATCTGTGAGTCTCCTTAGACAAATCTTCAATAACTTCAAAATTAAGTAAATGATTTTAAAAAGTCAGCCAAGTTGAAATTCAGCCAAGGCCAATGCACTGGCCTTTTTATACAGCCTGTGCTTTTAAAGCATACCTGTATAGTTAACTCACACTCACAGTTCCTCTCTCCTATGAGAGAATCACTCATAACTGATGCTAATGACGCTAGATATGAATGGAGCACTTTTATATGAGGGCACCATATTAGACACTGTGGGTTATAAAAAGAGATAAACATATATATCATTTGCCCTTGAAGAATGTATGATTGTGTACATATAAAATATATGTAAAGATGAATGTCAATAAATAATGAGAGCCAGACTGAGTGGGCAGAACATTGCATACTACAGGAGTCTCAGGAAGACAGAGATTGCCACTTGCTGGGGTGACAGTGCGAGTGGGGGAGTTGGGGGTGACATTTGTGTTGAAAGGACTTCTCCTGGACTTTCATGGTCCTGAATGCCCGTTGTGGGTACAAAACTCACCAATATATACTAACTTCCAGTTTGATCTGTGGGAACAGAGCTGGATTTCCTAAAATTCAGTGATGTAGCTGAAATTCTGACCTCTCAAACAAAGAGTTCAGAGAGGAACTTTGTGTCCTTTAATTATAAAACACATGGGTCTCCAATGGAAAAGAGACCTTCCTTTAATGAAGCCCTGAGGAAAGAAAGGGTTGCTTCGTGGGCTGTCTATAAGGAATCATATTGTAAATGCATTTAATGTACTCAAACTTCAACTCCACAGTTTTGGCACCAAAACACAAAACAAAACAAAACAAAAAACACTATATATAGAAAGAGAACCATTTAAATACTATGGGCAATTCCACCTGTCATCCCATTGAGCAAGAGCCTGAGAATGCAGATGTGACTCCAGTGTGCCTTCACTTGGTTGTTTCCCTGGCCTCTCAGAGTTGAGCCCTCTAGCTCCCCACAGTGTTATACCAGTGCTTAAAAATACCATTGACATTTCTTATGCATGGGCCCTAAATACAAACCAAATCCTTCTTCTGGTCCTTGACCAAAGAAAGATCTGCTCCAGTTCTAGGTGAAAAACTATAGTATTTTGTTTGCTAAAAACTAATCTCCAAAGTGACCCCTTCATAAGGGATTTTTTTCCAAGGGAAATTTTGACGTTAAGCTATTTTTGCTTTATATATGCTGACTTTGACTTATATTGACCTTATATATGGTGACTTTTGTACCTAACCCCTGGATGAGACAAACTTCCACTGTTTATCCTGAGTGGATAATTTTCTTGTTAATATTTAATAGCCAGTTCCTTGATAGTAGATTTCATTCTATGAGCTCTGGCTCTAAACACAGCATTGTGCAGTTAAAAAAACAAAATCCTCCATGGTGTTGAAAATGTTCTATAATCTGTACCGTCCAATATAGTAGCCACTAGCCACATGTAATTAGCATTAAAATGTGGCTAGAGTGACCAAGGAACTGAATTTT